TTATTCCTGTTTCGAATATTTCCTCTATTATGCATAGACATTACGATAACCTTACCTTTATAACGTTTTTCACTATAAACTAGTGCAATATTGGTGCAATTAAGTGCAAATCGGTTTACATATTTTCGGTGTTAATAAATAATTTGATCCTTTTAAAATCATTGTGACAACAAAGAATATGTAATTAAACCGGTTAATTTTATTAACACTGAAAATACGTGAATTAATTTGCATTCAATTGCACTCAGTGTGTACTAATTCTTCCAATGAAAAAAACGCTAATAGCCGCAAGAACAAACCTAATGGCAAGTGCACATACAGCATTCTCAGCTGGGTCACGTTCGACGCAACAATTGGTCGGCGCAACTGGAAGAACTGGAAACTCGGTACGTCCACCAATCAGACGTAAAGTACTGAAACGATCGCGATGCGCGCCACAACATCAAACATCTCGACGAACTGCTTGTGCTGCGGTCGAGATATCTCGTAGCAGACGACACGCCGCGCGGATCGACTTGACAGCTCACTCCGTATTTTCACGTGTCCCATCGCGCATCGCGTTGCGTAACTGGAGTCCGACTTCCAGGGAGGAGCTCCCTTTTTGCGGTGAGTAAGGAACATTTACGTTACATTGGCGACGAGGATATCATTTTTATCGTTGTCATCATCGGTTGCGACGATCGACCGATCGACGGACGACAGACAGCTGATCGAATGCGACGTGCAGACGCAGGCAGGAACGCAGGCTGTTTTGACATCGCCACGGGTAGCCGTTTGCAATCGTTTATCGATGGCCAATTGGCCCCTGCCGGAAATCTTTTTCCCCAGCCAATCGTAGCCGCTCGCCGCGATCGGGACCGGAAATCTGGCGCAATCTGTTACAACACAATAAAAAGCGCTGTCTTTTTCGCCTCCGCTCCCAATGTCGTCGTTTCGTCGTATTTCAACGCGACGCAATCAGACGCAATGCGACGTAGCGAAACGGAACTTGGAAACGACACGATGAGAACCGTCGTGATTTGCGTCTCATGTTTTAATATTTAAACGCCATTTCCGAACGACGCAATACCTCGATCGGTTATGAACATATATACATATATTGTACATATATATTTACGATCCGATCGGACCTTGAAACGCGTAATATTTGCGCAAAAGCGGCAGTACGACTCATAAAACTGATCGTCGACGAGACGACAGATAAGATACTTTTATCGTTCGAGGCACGAGCACGAAGCGATTGCCGAAAAATCGATGTTTCTTCCATCAGTGCGGTGGACTTAGGAATTCGCGTTATCTCGAGAACTCGAGTCGGATAAACAGAGAGGCCTCAGATAGATGATACGCGCATCTCTTCCAATCGGTTTTACTTCGCCGTAAAGGTAAATGATGACAAAATTGTTTCGTGCGAACGTCATCAATTTCCAGCGATAACGCGCACGTAAGAATAAATACATAAGCGCGGGTTACATAAATGGCACGCGCGCGCGAAAGGTACGTCAGCGTCGCGCGTGTATTACGCACATATCATTTTGTTTCTTTTTTCTTTTTTAAATGGAGAATTCGATCGATCGATTACGCGTACGGTCTGCCATACAGAACTTCAGTAACCTCGGAAAAGCGGGTTTTACGTAAGCGTGCACGGCGGCCACCAACGGACAGGTTCTCGCTGGCCGCCAGTAAAAATGTAAATTTAAAAAACGACCAGGCAAGATGGCGATTCGCGCGCCACGCGGTTGAAGCGCAGGAGCGGCCAGGCAGTTTCCCTGGACCCTGGATCCGAAGGGAGAATCCTGCGCATGCGCGCGACAAGGGGCTGATGTCTTCTCTGTATCCTCTCCCCGTCGCGGGGGAGAAGTAACTTTTAATCGTTTATTCGGTTTATTTTAAAATTTTCTAATCCCTCGACGCGGCCATATTGGCCAGTGATGTCAGAAGCGAGAAATCATGCGAATTTTTTTCCTTGCGCTATATATACGTCGTAATAAATTAGTTCCTCGTTCACAATATAATGTCATTCGCGTTCGATAGTCATATTGGCTGGGGTGTCCCCGACCTGGTGTCATGATCGAACAGGGAGTGGAATTTAATCAAAAAAGTTTAACTGTAAATGGGAATGAATAGAGTAAAAAAGTTTATATGACACTATATACATTCTCGTGAAACATGATTTAAAAAATTTTTTTTGAAATATTTTATATATTTTGTTGAAAAGTAGTGTTCTTAATATTTACAAATATTTCGTTTAGTAATTTAAATGATTTTTAATTGTTTTATGTAGTGAAACGTTTTATATTTTTTATATTAATTTTGTGTTAATTTTTTATTAATTTTGTATTAATACTGACGCATAATATTAATGAATTAAAAAATTAATAAATACGTAATTAATTTTCTAATTTTTACTCATTTTTCTCGAAAACAAGAATTCGCATAAAAACTTTGTTCCATGTTTTCTATTTATTTCATCATCTCCTTTTACGACCAATTCAGAAATATTCAATAGGATGAGAAATATGAAAATAATCCCATATGCGTAATCAGTAATTTATTGATTCGCTCTGACAAATTGATTAACTTTTTTACGTGTGCCATAAAATTTATATTTTAATGTAACACGTAATAATATTTTATAAGCTTAAGAGAGTAAGAGAAGGATGGAAAAAAAGACATAGGTAGTACACAGAAGTCAATCATCTCAAGGATATGTTATCATGATTTTATTTGTCACTTACAAGTTCACTCATAAGTGACAAACAAAATCATTATGTTATTCTATGATGGGTAATGTGACATTGTTCTATCTTTGTTACTTACTGAACGTCAAGAAAAATAAAATAATTCTTGTGTCGACTTGTACCACTAAACAGGAAGTAGCTGATATTATTGTGACAATTTAACACACTCTAGGCCTGTACTTTTTCCATACTTCAGAATTGAACTTCTTTTAAATAGTTCACCTTTCTTCTTTTCCTTTTCACATTGGAAAGAAAAAGACAAAAGATGAACCCTACAAGAAATTCAATCCTAGGGTATAGAAAAAGAACAGGCTTTCTATGTTCTATCTAGGGAGCGCATATGAATTCATTGTATCTCTTTCCCAGTACCCTGATTTATCATTTTTAACGACAGTGTTATGGTATTCCTGTTGCGCAGTTTTTCACCACATATAATGCGCAATATAATATAACGCACGTGACAATACTAATAATGTTAAAATCAATCGAAATAAATAAAAAAAAATGTAATATCAATAATAATATAATTTTGCATTCAATAATATGAAGATATATTAGAAAAAAATAGTGCCGTCAGCAAAATTGGTATTTTTAACAGAATATTTTGTCTATGTAAACAATAAATGTAGTTGCTTTTATCAATATAAGTTTCAGTTTTGTAAATAAATATTTGTTAATTAAACAGTAAGTTCACAAAAACAAATTCTTATTTATCAATACGGCGAAGTAAAATTTTATTCCTAGCACATAAACCATCAGCTGTTTTATTTTTTCACAAAATTACGAAATATGTATGTTTCATAGAAAGATATATTTTATCATCGCAGTCAATTTTATAATATTTTTTATAATATATAAACATAAATATCGAAGAAAACATTACATGTGATAATTGCTTGTGAATTTGATTTTTTTTTCTCAATATAGCTTAAAGCTGTCGAATAAAAATCGAATAAAAATATTTATTTACCAACTAAACTATTTAGTTAATGTAAAAAAATATTTTTGTTATCTATAAGGCTGAAAAATGTAGCAGAAGTAATTAAGTTCGTTGTTCGGCAAAAGAAAATATTTGGTTGTGCGTTAAAAAAATGTTTCAACTAATGAGTTTCGTTGAAAACACTTAAATTTTGTTTTCTTAGTGTAATGTAACACCACAATATAACATTTACACTGTTGAATACAAAATTATAACACTGTTACGTTACTTTTAATAATTTTAGTCGATGTCGAGATTGAGGAATTACAGGATCAGGATAGTGTTGCGTTCAGAAATTTCGTCCAGGTATCATTTTTGATCCTTGCATAACATTCTATGAATAACAGAGATAAAATGCTATATTCTGAATTCTTGAACGCACTTCTAAGAAAAAAAAAATGCGATAAATTTTCATTGAGCCCCAATGAAGCGCCTTAGCGTAGCGCGCACCCAAGTACAGCCCTGACGCAGATAATCAACGGTGATTGGTGCGCGCGACAAGGCACCGCACGGCGGCGGTGGCGGCGGCGGCGGTGGCGGCGGCAGGGGGGAAGTGAGGTGCTTCTCCCTCGCGTAGACTGGCGACAGGTTTCCGAACGCAGCGTGTAGCGTGTACGGGCTTCCGCTGGCTGTGGCTGGCTGGTCCCCGCTGATCGTGTGCGCGCGCGCGTGTATCGTGTGCGTGTCTGCTGGTGTCTGCATGCCTGCCGTTGCCTCGTTATCTCGCCTTGGCTGCGCGTGCTGGCATTGCTGGTTTGGCACGGCTGGCTCGCTGGCGTGTGTGACATTGGTGACGGGGGCGGAGCGTTCTGTGGCCACCCAGTTCTAGCCAACCCGTGGCTCGACATTCCTGATTCCGTCGACTCTGCTACAGTGCGCGTCCCGTCTCGATCGCGTTCGGCGTGAAACGTTTTCCCCTCGTTGCTCGACGATCGTCTAGCGAGTGTGTGTGCTTGTGTGTGTCTGTGTGTGTGTGCGCGTACGTGTATATGCGTACGTGCGTTACAGTGCGTTATACCACACGATTCCTCTGTGCGCCGTGGCGCGGACTCGCGGACAGCCACGAACGCTCTCTCATTCCTCCGCCTCACTCGGCTGTTCTGGGCTGTTCTTCGAGCCCAGTGTCCGTGTCTCCCGTGTGGCGTGCCTATGCGCTACGTTCGGTGTGTGAAACGATAAAACGAAGGAAACATCTCGTCTCGTTTCGTCTCGTCTCGTCGCGTTTAATCACGTACCAGCAGGCCAAGAGTAAGAATATCCGAGCTAAAAAGGATCGCGAAATCTCGTCATCGTCTCGTCATTGTCGCCGCGATGCCTTGGGCGTGTTTCTCCCGCATTCAGGTAAATAGCAAAACACTCGATTCGCAAGTGCACTAAACAGTTTTCGAATCGAGTTCCTTGCCGAGAGGCATCAGTGCGTGGGGTGAACGGAGAGAGAAACGGGTGGGAGGAAGAGCAAAGAGGCGACGGACGTAAGTAGGTACATACGGCAGTGAGAGGGATGGGCGAGGTGGGGTTAGGGGGAGGGGCGAGAGGGAGAGGAGGGAGAAACGGGGAAGAGAAGAGGAGCTCTACGAATAAGGGCGCCGCGAAGACGGAAGGAGGAGAGAGAGTGGGCTTCTCTTTTTTGGAGGATTTCAACCTGAGGTCACGCACGGCGGAGCGAGTGAGGCCGAACGCGTGCGGGTCAGAGTAGGACGAGGAAGAGTGGAAACCCGTCCTCCATTGCTCGATCGTGAGAGAGCAAATGGTGGCTCGTTCCATGAGTCTCTTTGTTACGTTACAAATACGAGTTTCAAGGAGCGAGAGCCCCTCTGCAACAAAGCGTTGCTCCACCGTTGCCGCCGATGGCTGTCTCCGTACTCGCGAGTCGCATCTGTCGTGACTGAGTATTCTGAGTAATCCGTCAGGCTCGCCGTCGAGATAGGAAGAAGGGACCCCCCCTCCCCCCTCCCACGCTGTGATGTCAACGGCACAATTTCGCGTCAGTCAGTGATACCGAACGGACGGCCAGATAGACGGACTCAGACCAAACCAGACTAGTCAGCAGTCGTTCGACCAGCCAACCAATCAGTTTAGCTAGGCCAGCGAGCAAAGTAGCAGTTGTAGTGTTTGTTATGATTCTCGGTTCGTTACTATCTTTGCTGCCGCGTGGGGGGGAAACGTTAATTGCGTATCGCGCCCCGCGGCCGTTTTATTTAGTCACGCTCTTGTTATCCGAGCGCATATGGCTCGAGCTGAGGCATCAATCCTTTAATTTTCTCTTTCTCTTTTTCTTTCTCTCCCTCCCTTCTCTCTCTCTCTCTTTGTTTCCCTCTTCTTGGAAATCGGGCTGTCGATATCGCTGTTGCTATTCAGTTCGTGGCGTTGCAGCGAACGCTCGAGGTTGACGATGGATCCGCGAGGTTGCATTTAAGGAACATGAGGCATTTAAATTTTTTTTTTAATGCGCTCGATTAAAAATCCACGGTTCCAATTTTAACGATGGTCATACTGGTTGTCACGCGATAAAAAAACGACCTATCCGTTCCGCATGTCCGTCTATCTGTGCCGTCCGTGATTTTCGGGAACGAGTGATAATGGAAAGTAAACGAACGCAACGGGCATCTGTTAATGTTTTTCTCCAACAAAGGGGGGGCAGGCCGCGACGGACGATTCGATCTGATTCGTACATCCGATTTTTTTTGTCTTTCTCTAGCGAGTGCGCCCAGCTCTCCATTATTGTGTGTCGCTTTCGTTGTTACGCATCGTACTTATACGCGAATAAGAGTGTTACGTAGTAACTTGCAAGTAGAGTTCGATGGTACTTAGTCATCTTGAAAGATACAAACTGTTCTTTTTTTTTTTTTGTAAGGATTGGATTTTTTGTCGTTCATTTACAGAAACCATTCTAAATATTAACTTTGCACGTACGCGCGCGCGATATATAGGTATTCCTAAGGAACAGGATTGATATATTTATTGTTGGTGTCACGGTTTATTTATATACAGAATATTATCCATTAATTTTGCACTTGTATATAGGTTTGTTCGCGTTGCTTAAAATTCCCGAAAAATTTATACTTAAAACAAAATAAACATATTTCGGATGTTGAAAAGCGAAGATAAGTTCAAAATATGCAAGCAACGCAAACAGATCGTATGAATAATGTTAAATCTATCAAAATTTTCAAAAGATTCTTTTTTGCCCAAGGTTATTCTTAAGAATATGTATATTTGGACTTTTTACACGTATTCTTATGTGTTCTTACGAAAAAGTAATTTATGAGCTTTTTCTACTTTTGTGTGTGTGTGTGTGTGTGTGTGTGTGTGTGCGCGCGCGCGCGCGCGCCCGTTCCTTCCAATGTAGATTAACTTTTTAATCTGGTTCAACTTATTCTTCATTCTTTTTTAATTCTTAGAGCTAGGCAAAAATAAAGAATTAGACCAAGATAAAAAATAAACTATCTACATTAATAACACAAGTCATACAAATATCATTTTGTCTTTGTTACTTATGTGGAATGCTGAAAAAGATAGAACGATGTTTTTGTCAACATGTTTTACAAATACCTTTATGGATTTCACTTTTCAACAAGTGATACAGATGTTACAATGTAACACAGTGAATTATTTCATCTTATTTAATATTGATAAATAACAAGTAAAGATTTACTGTTCTTATTTAGTGATACAAACGTCATTTTATCTTTCTTGGCTTCAAGTAAAAAGAAAACATGTGTTATCTGTCTCTTACTGAAAAGCACCTTATGTTCTAAATAGTACAGTTATAAATACGTGTAAATACAGATGAGATAATTACCATATTTAGATATGTTATGTAATTAATAGTGTGCTGTGGTTTCTCTTTTACAGACAGAATAGTGGCATGAGTCGATTAATCTATGGCAGATCAACAAGATCAGTTGTCATCAGGGGGGTCTGTAGAGAAGGCCAGTGCTTCAGCAGACACCTCTAAGTCAAGGGGGAAAAGCTCTAGTAGTGGCTCGAATAGCTACAGAAAACGACAAAGTACTGGTGTGATCCCAGATAGCGTGGAAGAGAAGAGGCGTAGACAGACCACCAGTGACCTGCAGACATCTCAAGTGGACAGTAATACACCGCACACACATTCGATTGATTCTTCCAAGGGAGAGGGCAGAATCAGAGGTGAACGAAGAAGTCATGGAGCTGGCTTAGAATCTTATTCAGGTGATTATAGGATCGAACAAAGTAGGATATGCAATAACCCAAACGCTTTATGAGTGCTTTCCATTTGGTGACAAAAAGTTTATCTTTCTTAACATTTAATGAGAATAAAGACAGAACGACTTGTGTCACCAAATGGAAAGTATTTTATAATTTCTCTTTGGAATGTAATTCCAATATTGTATCACCTGTGCAATCTTAGTTTGTTATTACATGATAACATATAAATGGACTTGTTTTTTTTTTATTTTTTTTTATTTTTTGTTTTTAAATATATTTTGGTACTCGAATTCTTTCAAATCCTTTATTAACAAATCGATTTATATGACCGCGTTGAAATATTGCAACAGAAACCGACTGGAGGTCTCATCATAAGATTCACCAAGTCAGTTACAACAGTAGTAGCAGTACAAGAGTGCGTAGTGCAGCGAGGACGAGTCTACCAGAGTCAAGTTTAACACCTACCGATTGTGTGGCATCGCGAACACGTTCCCGTACACCACAGAATCCTCAAGCATTGACACAGGGAACTAGCAGTTACGATTTGTCACTGCCCAGTGGATACGGTAGCCGAAAGACAAGTACCTACAGCAACTTAGTAGCTTCATCGAGTGCTACATCGATCACTAGTCATCCATCCACATCGAGAGGAAGAGGAGGTTAGTGCACATTTTTCTAGCCGTTATTGTTGATCGTAGGATTGTGATGTGTGATTTGCGTGAAGATACAATTTTGTTTTGAGATTGTTTACATCTATAATGACTCTTAAAACTGATATCAAAATTTTAACAAGTACTTGTATTAACAATTCATGCTATGTATGTTTTATTAATTATATTTTGCTCTTTTTTTTTTAATTTTTTAATTTTAATGATGAAAATAAAAGTTTTTTAAAATTGTTTAATTTATAGCATTATATATCATAGAGTTCTAAGATTTAAATTTTAATAAATTGATATAATAAACTTTGATATAATAAACTTTTTTTTTATTTTATGTTAAGAAAATTTGGATATGATAGAAGAAAGCAAAATCAATAAATATTTTACAAATAATTTATAACAAACATTACAATATTAGTTAAAAAAAAATCTTTCTAAAATGTTTAATTATGAATATATTATAATTATTATGTGTAAGCAATGTTAATTACTCTATTAAGTATTTAAAAGAATTTTCTTTTGTAGCTCTGATTGTTTTATAACAAAAAAAAAACAACGATAACTAATTTAATTCTTTAGTGTAAATTTGATTTTTTAAACAATGCATACAGAGAGAAGAAAGAACAAATTGTATAGCTAGGTAATATGTTAGCTTTACATAAATCCAAACAAAAAGCTCTTTATGAAATACATATCTCTATATTTACACATGCAATTTATCTCTACTTGTTACGTTTCTATTTGTGTAACGTTTGCTAATTTGTCAGCAGACTTGAAAAATTTTTGATTTTTCGAAATATAAAACAGTATACAGAAATATATGATACAGAACTCGTGCGTTTTATTACGAGTTTTGATCCACTATCGTCAGGTCAGTCGTGAATATAACGAGTCTTGTGTGTAATATTTGTGTAAATGAAAGGGAGTGATTTGGCCAATAAGAGGCAAAGAAAGTGTGAAAATGTTTCGAGAGATAGGAATATAATAAAATTTAGAAAACGCAAGCATTATCAAGATAAGAGTCATAGATCAGACTGTATCATTAGGCCAGAGGATGAGCGAATGTCTGGAAGGATTTGTGTCTGCTGTCAAAGCACTTTTTCCAATATCAACACAAACCTACCATCAAGAAGGTAAGCTTAAGGAGTACACACTCTTCGTACCACATTTTCTTCCTTCCCCTTATTTTCTCTTATAAATTCGCGAGTAGCTTAAATGTACATCCGAGTCATTGAACTCTCCATTCTGAACTTATTCTCTATACATCCATATGCAAGTATCATCATTTACTGTACTTAATATCAGGTAAACTTCTGTATCAAACTCATTCATGCATGATATTAATTACGTAAATATAATTAAGGGAAATACAATTCTATCCAACTTCTATGATACTTATATTTTGTTAAATCTGACAATTACCACGAATACGGTAATTAAAAACGCATCATCGTGACTTAAGATAACGTTAAATTTAAATCTTTTTTCTTACACACACATAATAAGATTATATTAATAATTTATATATAATTGGATATATAAAAATTAGAAAGATGTATTTTTAAATTTATTATAATATAGAAATTTATAGATATTTATTATAATGAAAGAAAAAGTTATCTTTTATATTCAGAAGTATATTGTACAAATATCGTGCTGGAAGTTTATGAACTATTTGCAAACATTTTCGTAAAGTTATCTAACATATCATACACCACATACAATTATATATAAATCAAATAACTTTTAATTGAGTAAAATATTATAAAAGTTATCGATATCGAAATTATTATTTCAGTTTTTATATTATTTTAGTTCTAATTTAGAATAATATTTTTTTTTTGTACAATTGGAATCATAATATACGCAATATTACGAATTTATTTTTAATATAACAATTCCAATTTTTGTAATAAATATCTTAAAATTTGAGTGTTTATTCCTTATTTTTTTCTATTTCTTTATTTTTTTGTATCGCTAATATCTTATTGCTTTCGAGATAATACTGGTGTCGGAAATTCTGTGGATAAGCAATTTTTTCTGTGGAATTCTGTATATCATCATGAGGTTAAACTGATCTTGCTTTCGTTCTTTCAATACGTAATAGAATTTATTGAATGTAGTTAATACAATGTACATTCAAGTACAATTGTCTTCGGAAATTTCTTTTTTCATGTCGATATTAGTATTCTTCAAACTGACATATTCTATAGCATTTTGTCGCAGAAATATCATAAGTTGATATTGCTTTAATATTAGAAACTTGTAATTAATTCATTCTGGTCTTTTAAAAGAAGTTTTCATCTTGAAAAGAGTCATCTGTGAAAGATGACTTTTATTATGTAGTAATATCTTTGTTATTGGATATTATCATTTACAATCATTAATCTTCTCTTTTATATTTACTAATTGGTTGTTATGCGAGTTTTTTTTAGAGTTAATATGAAATGTATAAAATGTTCCTATTTTAGATATATTTAATAATTCTGACAGTTTTCAGCTAAACTTGCAATACACTGAGCGATTAAGTCCAGTATAACGATCACGTAAGGTAGAAACATGAAAAGTAAAAAAATGTTTATCATTGAAGCTAATGGAGGAATTTTTCACTTTTCACGTTTTTGCCATAGTAGAAAAGTTATCTGGTACCTAGGTATAATTTCTGATCTCGTAAAATTCAATGTATTATCTCAAAAGATAATTTTGTTTTTTTTGTTTTTTTTTTTTTTTTTTTTCAAATCCGTTTTAGTACAATTTGTACCTGCTCTAGCAGCTATAATACGTATCTTCAAGATTTATGGAAATGGGGATGACACGTACTGTCTTTTCTTAACGCGAAGAAATCGAACAATACCATGTCGAAACTTGGGTCGTTACAATACAACATTATTGAATATAATTAGTGTTTTGTACTACCGATGGCAGAAATTAAATGTTTTTCCTTCAGATAACAAATAGAAATTGCTTCTGTTGCTCGATGAAAGTTGCTTGTAAATTACGAAATTGTTAGAATTGTTAGAATGAAAATTATTTAAAATAGGTGCATATAATCTTTGTGAATTTACATTTTACCTATCATAGCTGTTGGTATTTAGACAATACTTAATATTACGATCTCTAATTTCTGTGAGAAAGTTTACAACATTAAATGTTGTTAAAACTGTATGATTTTAACTAAGAAGATTCATAAACTGACCAAAAACAAAACAATTAAAGGAACATAAAAAAAACCAATTAAAGGAACAGTTTTAAAAAACTATTATGCTTGATTTTATATAAAAATATTTAATAGATATTTTTACAATTGACAGGCAAAATTGTATATAAAATTGCATAAGACACATCATGATAGAAATCATACATCACTTATAATGAACTAACTTGCGAAAATGTTTGACTTTTGTAATTGTGCACGGGATAAGAGTCATCATGTTTTCTTTTTCGTTTTGAAGATATTTTACGTGTATCGAAAGTGTAAATAAGAAATGTTGCATATATGTATTTATACAGCAACTTTGACATCCATATATAAATAACAATGTACGCAGTGTTAGACAGCCACACGCGACAAGTTTCAACCTAGTCTTTACCCTATGTATCTCAATGATTGTGTGACATTTGGATATTTTAGATTCGAAATCTCACGGCGGTGCGACCTGTAGCGCAACGAGTAGCAGCACGAGTAGTCAAGTCCTGGGTGTCAAGTCCAGCATCAGAGTGGGTAACGCAGCAAGTAACTCTGTGGAGAGTGGTGGGGGGGCGTTGGCACATGACGGGGCAGGCACGAGTGGCATCGCTTCAACAGCCACTGCCAATCCACCTGTGTCTGCCACCGTTTCTGCCAACCCTACACACCCTCATTCTACACACAAGCACCTGCTACGCTCTCGCGCGAAAGCTACCGGTGAACAGCCGAAGGAATTGCCATCTAGCAACAAGACTTCGGGGAAACATCACAAGAAAGACACTACAACGGGTTCCTGTTCGAGTTCAAGGTAGCCAGTCAGAGATACTTTTCTCTTCTAATTCAGTTGCGAACTTGACAAGAGATCTTACATAATCAGTTAACAAATTATAATAATATCTCTGGCTGGCATTGTTACAGACATCGCTCTTCATCACGCGTGAGGAAGCCGGTGGTGGAGAGCGGCTCCGGTGGATTGGGTAGTGTAATGTCAGGCAATGACTCTATCAGCGCTACCTCCGTATCATCCTCTATTCCGAGCAGTCAGTTAGTCTCAACCACAGGTGAGGAGGAGTCAGCATCAACTGCGACATCCGCCACAGGTTAAATGCTATTGATGTCTAAGCTTAATAGATATTTAATGCTTGATCAATTTTGTTGTACGATGTTAGATCGCGTCATTCAAAATTTCGATTTCCTACTTGCACGCGAAGCTGGTGGAGGACCATCTGGAATGTCAGGAACGACAGGTGATAGCGAAAGCGATGATGGAGAAGTTGGACGATTGCAAGCTTTATTGGAGGCTAGAGGTCTACCGCCTCATGTGTTCGGTGCATTAGGACCGCGGATGCAACACTTGCTTAATCGAAGCATGGGTGCAAGTTCCGGTATAAAAATTAATTCTTTTGTCGATATATTGTAACTCTTCTCTCTCTCTCTCTTTCTCTTTCTTTCTCTCTCTCTCTCTCTCTCTCCCTCTCTCCCTCTCCCTCTTAATAGAGACAGTTCACAATTCACGCGTTGTTTGTGAATCGATCATAGTTCTAATAAGTATAGACTATACACATTCCTTGAACTTAACATCTGTGCTCTGTTAGAAAGAATTGAGTCATATCTTTCTTTAGTTCACTAATTTAGAAATAGAGAGAGCGATATGATTTAAGCTACCTCACTCTCTAAACCAATGACAATTTTATAGACATGCGCAGTATATTTTTATTACATTCATGTTTGTGACAACCATGACTGGTAAAGACTTTCTTTTCTTTTCTTTTTTTTTTTTTTTTTAAATAAAATATGGTGTTTCTTTTTAAATATAATATATTTTTAATACTTTAAACATACTTTTCACAATATTAAAAACACGTGTTTAAAACATGTTAAAAACATCGATTAAACATATTTTAAACTGTTTAAAACATGTTTTTTACCAACCTCTATGACAACTTATAAATAATCTTTAATTGTACGACACACTTCGCTTCTATAAATAGCATGTCGAAATATCGTTTATTCGGTATACTGATCTTTAAACTAATTTGCAGCTGCTAAAGCGCAACAACTTCTAGCCGGTTTACAAGCTGTTGAGGATGAGGGAGAACAATTGCAGGCCGTCATGAACATGGGAGAGATTCTTGTAATGGGCAACGAGGATACTCTAACCGGTTTTCCTGTTAAACAAGTGGTGGCAGCTTTAATTAATTTATTGGGAATTGAACATAATTTCGCGATAATGACCCATGCGTGTCGTGCTCTTACGTATATGATGGAGGCGCTGCCACGGTCGTCCACTGTTGTAGTGGATGCGGTGCCGGTGTTCCTACAAAAACTCGAATCGATCGAGTGCATGGACGTAGCTGAACAGTGTTTGACAGCATTAGCCATGTTATCACGTAGACACAGCAAAACAATTTTACATGCGGTATGTACACATGTTCTAAACTCGCATATATTTCCTAACTTGCATATAAAGCAATTGCATTTTTTACTCAATTTACTCATATATCTTCCTTGCAATAATTGACTTAGCTCATAATTTTATATATAAGAATTTTTATTACAAAATTATCGAAAGATTTAGATTGTTACTTGAAATTTTATATTCTATGTCAGAATATCATGACTTTTGATGACTATATCTGATTTTATTGCATTTTATATTCTTAATATTTCTAAAATTGTTTAGAAAAATAATAATTTTTATATTTTCAAAGTGGAAAATTATATATAAATACTATTAGATATTTCAAATAGAATAATTTAGATCTAAAATTTTTATTGGATACACGGTATGTTTCTCTGATACAGGTCGTTCCATCTTGGCATTCCATAGTAACAGACAAAAGGGTAGAGTTATGTCGTGTCACCAAATGGAAACCATGTATAACATATATAGGCCGAGCATATACTATATGCCAAGTATTTGCTGGTGGCCTCTCGTGTAAGAGAGAGGAAACACAATTCTCTTCTCTCTCTAAGATTGTTCTTTGTCTGTTAGAGAGAAGAGAGTTCTGAGTTGCGTTCCGTCTCTCTCGCATCCGAAAGCTAGGTCTCGCGCGTCATACTCGGTTTATCTATACTGTATCTATAGTATCCTTAATAACGAAGATATTTCAAATGTTCAAATTAGATAAAAAAAATTTCCTTTTATGTGATGCTTTGGAAACACGTGATGACTTTTATTACTTTTATTACAATTAATTAAAAATAAATTTATTATTTAAAATTCAATTGCAAAATCTTATTATTTTTCAGGGTGGGGTTTCAGCCTGTTTGAAATTTGTTGATTTCTTCAACATCACAGCACAACGTGCAGCGTTAACAATTACTGCAAACTGCTGCCAAAATCTTCATCCTGATGATTTTCATTTGGTAGTGGATAGTTTGTCATTATTAACGAGCAGATTAACGAATCAAGATAAAAAAAGCGTCGAGTGTGTGTGTCAAGCATTCAGTCGATTAGTTGACAGTTTCCAACATGATCCTGTAATGCTGCATAAAATTATCAATGCTGAACTCTTACAGAATCTACAACAGCTGGTACGAGTTTTATCAGTAAAATACTTATTGTTGTAATCATTTTTATTTTTGTCCCTACTGTTTATACATTATTCCATTACAGCTCATGATTACGCCGCCGGTTAACAGCACTAACAATTTCATAACTGTATTACGAATGCTCTCTGTGATATCAAATCGCTGTCCCGACTTGGCGCAATTGTTGCTGCAACAAAATATAGCTTTCACATTAAGTTATCTTTTAACTGGATCTCTGGAAGTTAAAACGGAAGACGTGGAGTTGGTGCCGCGTACACCGCAGGAGTGGTTCGAAATTACGTGTTTAATCGAGGAGCTTATGCCTCCGTTACCAACAGATGGAATATTCAGTGTAAATAGTTTACTCGAAAGGACCAGCAATCAACAGGAGACTGTCCAGTGGGAATGGCGCGACGAAAGACAATGTTCCCATCCGTTCAGTACTATAGATTCTAGAATTATCGAGGTAATTTCGTCGCTTTAATCAACGAGTGAATACGAAAAATTAATCATTAAATACATGTTTTAGATGGCGTTTCAAAATGGCGAAGATGAGATATGCCTTACTTCCTTAGGACGAACTTACACTATAGATCTGACTGTGATGAAACAAATTAACGAGGATATAGGAATGACAAGAAGTATATTTCGGAGAGTAAACGCCAATCCCACTGAGGGAAAGCGTCCAACTTGCTCATCTAGGTATAAATTACATTTGCGATCTTTTGAGATTACAAACAATTTTGTCGTTAATGCAGTTATATTATTGATTTCAGTATGGATGTTGTGCCTCCGGTAATTGAAACGAACGAATGGCTAGTGTCTTTTATTCGAACTTTATTCTCTGTACTATATGAGGTTTATAGCAGTTCAGCTGGACCCGCTGTAAAATGCAAATGCCTCCGAGCTCTTCTTCGTATGGTGTATTATGCTTCAACTGACTTACTTAAGGTAAAATATATATTAAGCGACAGTATATTTTCTTGTTTGTGACATATACTTTATGTACTAATGTTTTCTTTTGCACACAGGATGTTCTAAAGAATCAAGTGGTTTCGTCACATATAGCTGGTATGTTAGCGTCGCAAGATTTACGTATAGTTATCGGAGCTCTTCAAATGGCGAGTATCTTGATGAAGAGATTACCACAAGTATTTGGGGTTCATTTTCATCGCGAGGGCGTACTGCATCAAGTTCGTCAATTAGCAGATCCCGAAGTACCTCTTGGTGTTTCACCACCTAAGTGCCCTTCTGGTAAGTTGCTTTATTCTTAATGCATTTTACTATTCCATTACCAAACATATGTGATATACATATCATACTGGATCATATAATATTTTACATTGTATTTAGGTACATCATTACCAAGCCCACAGCCAGGTCCGTCTAATACACCACTTTCTTCCACCACAATGTTGTCTTCTAGTAGTGCCACGTCTCCAGTTGTCTCTCCATCTTCGAATGGCAACATATTGTTCGGCACAATCGCGTCGTCGTGCCAGTATAAACCAAATATCAGTGCTTCGCTGGAACCACACAGAACGGAATTAAACAACAGTGTAGAGGAAACAAGCGCACCGCAAAGTGCTCACTTGTTAGTACAAGATGTCTTCACTGATATATTTACAATTTTTTAAATAATCATTTATGGTATTTATATCGTATTTATAAATCGTGTCTTTCTATTTATTAGAAGGATTGGTGATGTATTGAAGAAAAAACGACAGAATAAGAAGGGTCGTTTCTCGAGATTGGGGGGCACCACCACACCGCAACAAACACAACAACCGGAGTCCCTGTTTACTGGTTTTACCCCGAAGAATAATCGATTTTTGGGAAATCTCAATCCGGCCAAATGGGGTCGGAAATCGTCCTCGTCCAGTACTAGCAATGACAAGAGAGACTCGAGCTCGTCCACGAATTTGTCAAAACCACCAAGTAATCCGAGCTTAACTGGTGGAAATCGGGATAAGGCAAAAGCATGGGTACGCGAGCAAGCAGCCCAATTTTTGGCAAGATATCAGGACGATGCACCTTGTTCGCATCCCGCCCTAACAGTTCTTGCTCGACTGACTGCTGCGATACAGCGATTGCAATCAAATGTAAGTGCATTAAGTAAACAATTTTATTATTATTATAAATAAAGGTTGCTAAACATTGGACGTTTTATCAACATTTATTCTATATCTTTATCTTTAAATAGTTTTATGTATAAATAGGATGATAAAAAAGTTTGACCACAAAGTTTTGTGTTTATCATATTATTAGTATATTTATGAAAGAATAAATTGTAGACAGAAAGAGAGAAAGAGAGAGAGAGAGAGAGAGAGAGAGAGAGAGAGAGAGAGAGAGTTCTTATTAAATATCAAATAATTAACATTCAAAATGATAATACATATTAAAACTATTATTTCTGCAGATTTTGACAATTCGCGCTTATGTTTACAGGAATTGGACGAAATGCTATCAGCACTAACAGAATTAAGAGACATAGTTCTCGAGAGCGATATATCGCCGTTTGAAATGAATTACAGCGGCCTTATCAAGGCTCTGTTGAACTACCTCACTACGACGGATGCACCGGGTAATCGTTACGACCGTCTTCGTATGTTTTGGAAATTGTTTGCGGAGTCTACCGTAAGTAAAATCAATCTTTTTGTCCTTCTTCATTTCAAATGAATATGTAAGTAATCTTTGTGATATAATTTATCCAGATGCAACAGAACAACGATATTATGGATCTTAATCCTGGGGCGTTTGGTGCTTTAGTAACGAAATTGAATAGCTGTGTTGCACAGCTAGAACAATTCCCGGTGAAAGTTCACGATTTACCTGCGGGTTCTGGCGCTGGCCGTGGCGGTACTAGTGCTCTGAAATTCTTCAATACGCATCAACTTAAGGTAACTATTCTAAAATATGTAAAATTTAATTACCACGAGAAAAGACAACTTTATGCAAACGTCGAAATATAAACCCAAACGTTTCATTGAATTGTGCAGTGTAATCTTCAACGGCATCCGGACTGTAATAATTTGAAGCAATGGAAGGGCGGTACTGTAAAAATAGATCCGCTTGCATTAGTACAGGCGATTGAGCGTTATTTGATGGTACGTGGATACGGCAGAATACGGGACGCTGACTCGATGGTCAGTGATGACGACAATAGCGAGGATGACATTGATGATACTCTGGTATATATCTTTCCAATGGAGTATCTATCTTTAGATTAGAGAAAACCGATAAAATCGGTGCGAGCGATTACATTTGCCGCTTTTCCTTCCAGGCGGCAGTTGTGATAAGCCAAGGACCGCCGAAACATAAACTTCAGTTTTTAATTGGCGACGTGGTCCTACCTTTCAACATGACGGTTTATCAAGCTGTCAGGCAATTTGGATGTTCCGGAGTGGATCACTCCGAGGCAGAGGCCGATAGTGAACCGCCACTTGGACACGATGCGGTATGGGTGCAAACCCATACGATATATTACAGGTATTTTTTCAGACATTTATTTCAGAAATTTTAAAGTATACTTAGAATTTATTTTGTAAAAATGCTACGCACTTAATGATATCACTGTCATTAAAAGTTACAGAATTACTGCTGATATCATTTTTTTTAAGAAACTTACAAGACCTTTGACTTTTATACTGATCCGAAAAGAAATATTTTATTTTTTCTGAACGCAGACCTGTACCAGAAGAAGATGCCGCAACCTCTCCAAAATCAGGGTCGAGTTCACAGGGTAATAGCAGGAAGGGAAAGGGAAAAAGTACAAAGATTAGTTCAAAGAGAAAAGAAGATAGTCTCTGGCTAGAAGGCATGATTCCTCTTCAACACTGTCCCCTCGCGCCATATCTATCTCCCACATTACCACCCTCAGTAACTATCACAGATGCCTCTCTCGATGGGTTGTGTCTTTTGCGGCTCTTGCACGCTCTTAATCGCCATTGGGGCATACTGTTCCCTCATCTAAAAAGCATGAGCCTGCTATCACCTCAAGACTTCATCAATAATAAGATCGCCGCGAAAGCCAGCAGGCAACTGCAGGATCCACTGGTGATCATGACTGGAAACTTGCCATCTTGGTTACAACAGATAGCATCTGTCTGGTCAGTAGAGCGAATAGCTCGATCATTAAAAATTTAATTTTACTAATTTTAGTATAATTCAAGAATTTATTTGCAATAATTAATTTCAATTTCCAGTCCTTTTCTCTTTCCATTTGAGACGAGGCAGCTTTTGTTGTATGCAACATCGTTTGATCGAGATAGAGCATTACAACGTCTCTTGGATTCCGCGCCAGAACTTTCAGGATCAGACAGTCAGGAGCGCGTTACGCCACGCTTAGAACGAAGGAAGAGAACTATCTCGAGAACGGACATTCTTAAGCAAGCGGAGCTAGTGATTCAAGACTTAGCCTCTAATAAAGCCTTACTTGAAGTGCAATACGTCAACGAAGTTAGTTGGTTTTTGTGTGCACGTCCTCCTTGGATTGTCAATCTTATTGCAAGTCTCTAACGTAGAATTTATATTACAGGTCGGTACTGGTCTCGGTCCAACTCTGGAATTCTACGCTCTAGTCTCTAAGGAACTGCAACGCGCTGATTTAGACTTGTGGCATGGCAGTTCGAATCCTACTGAAAACGGATATGTTAATTCCTCGCATGGGCTCTTCCCGACGCCAATCCCATGGAACACTAAAGTATCGCATCTAGCAAAATTGAAGACCAAGTTCAAATTTCTTGGGAAATTCATGGCGAAAGCAATATATGATTCCAGAATGGTAAAAATTAGCATATCTTATTCGTAAAATTTTTTTTAATCTCTTCGATTACGTTTTTAACATATTCAATTGTCTCTTTAGTTGGATTTACCATTTAGTTTAACCTTCTATCGCTGGTTACTGGGAGAGGAACATACTCTTACATTAGCCGACTTGGCATATGTATGTCCCGACGTATATCGCACTTTAAGCAAGCTCCAGGAGGTCGTGAGGAAGAAAGAAGCTATGGAGAAAGATCAGACGCTACGACCGCACGAGAAAGCGCAATTAATTGAGGCTCTCGATTTAGACACGTGCCCCATTTCCGAACTGGGTCTTGTGTTTGAATTACCGGGCTACGAGAATATCGAATTGAGGAAGGGCGGTAGCGAAATATCCGTTACTATTTACAATCTGGATCAATATATTAAGGTAAATACATATCTCTTTCTCACTCACTCTCGACGTTCTCTTTCGCCGATGTCGTTTGAGGAATCACAATGATCACGCAATCTCTGTAAAATTTCAGTTAGTGGTACACTGGTTCTTATACGAAGGAATATTCAGACAAATGGAGGCTTTCCGGGAAGGTTTTGAATCGGTATTTCCTCCGTTGCAACTGAGACTATTCTTCCCAGAAGAACTGGAAGCGGTATTTTGCGGTCATGCACAAACCGGCGGACAATGGGACGTGAAAACTCTTGCCGAGTGCTGTAGGACTGATCATGGTTATACACCGGACTCACGGGCCATTCGTTTTCTATTCGAGGTCATGTCCAAATACAACAGCGAAGAACAACGACAATTCATTCAGTTTGTCACCGGTTCACCGCGTTTGCCCGTTGGAGGTAGATACTTTACTATTCTCATTTTTCATTTGTGTGTTCTCATAAGCTAGAGAGATTAGCGGTAAACTGCATGCTTATATTTTTCAGGTTTCAAAAGCTTAACCCCTCCGTTAACAATAGTGCGCAAAACCTTTGATCCGTCTATGAAGACAGACGATTTTCTACCATCAGTAATGACTTGCGTTAACTACCTAAAACTGCCTGATTATACCACTTTGGAAATAATGCGGGAAAAGTTGCGGATAGCCGCTCAAGAGGGTCAGCACTCGTTCCATCTTTCCTAGAAACAGATGGAAAATCGGCACCTCATTTTCTCCTTCACTCTTACATTATCCAGACCGCGAATTATCCGAACTTCGTTTAAGATCTACGTGAAATTACGTATGTTGTCAGTAAGTAAACTCAACGTCGCGATGATTTTTATTCTTTATGTGAGTTCTTTTGAGGACTTTTTATTTCTTGAAACAAAAAATTT